ACACGGGCATGGTGATTTCGCTGCTGAAGATGCCTCCCAAAGATGTTCGAAAGTTGTTGCGCCTTGGAGTTCAACGGTGGCAAGGCCGAAGGATTCTGGAGCATCATGCTGAACACCTGGAGGGAGGCGAGTCCTTGTGGATGCGAGCTGTGCATCTTACCGTTGGTGGTAAGGCAGCCACCATCAAGAACGCACAGGTCGCGGGTGCCCTTCGTTGCCTTTGGGCTGGTGGCTACATGACTGTGCAGAAACGGCATCAACGAGGATGGTTGCCTACGCCACACTGCCCACACCCTGACTGTCGTAAACTATGTGCTGTTGGAGATCTTGGTCATCTGTGGTACGCCTGTCCGAATTTGCTTGAACAGAATGATGCTGGCGGTCTGCCAGCCTGGTCTGAGGAGATGAAAAAAAACGCGTGATCGTCTGTCTGAGGAGGGAGTCAATGTCATGGGGCAGGACAGTTTTCACCTGCTGAAGTTTTGTATTGGGCTCCCCCAGGCTCCTCCTGATCTCCCCCCTTCCGTCCTCTGAGCCTCCCACCTTCTTCTGGGGGGACTGGGGGTCGAAGCCTGAGGGATGGGGTCCAACTGCCTTCTTTGATGGGTCTGGGATGCACAGCGCCTGGCCAGAATTCAGGCGATGCGGATGGTCGGCTGTTCAGATGGGAGAGTTTGGACTTCCTGTTCGTGCGGCCTGCGGTCCGCTCCCAGGCCCCATTCAGTCTGTTGGCAGAGCTGAAAGACATGCGCTCTTGCGGGGGCTCCAGTTGTTGCCGCGTTTAGTGCTGTCCGTCTCGGATCTCCTTGGGGCCGTGCGTGAGGGGGTTGAATGGTCTCCTGAACATGCGTCTGCCGCGTCCGCCCACGCTGATATCTGGAGGCAAATTTTTAGCGTTGCTCAGGGGAGGGATAACCCGAGGGCTCCCATGTATGAATGGGTGCCTGCTCATCTCTCTCTGGAGGAGTTTCTTGAGCGAGGACAATGGCCCGTGTCTTGGTGGTTTGGCAATATGTGGGCGGATTTCTTCGCCAAGATGGGGGCCTGCTCGCATAAGGTCGCTGACTCTTTTGTTGACTACTGGTCTGATCAGCTTGCCATTGGCAGGAACAATGCAAAGTTTTTTGGCTGGGCTGCTGCCCAGCATGCGGCGCATAGAGAAGTTGTGGGTGGGCAGCTGGAGGCCCTTCGGGAGTGAGACATCCCTAGGCCTGCTGCTGATGTTGCCCGCTCCCTCCGTGCGCCCCCCCCCCCCCTCCTCCGTTTCCAGGAACATGTGTTCTGGCGAACTGGTGATTTCATGGTCTGTCGCTCCTGCCTGGCCAGGGCGAGAACGGAGGCTTCGCGTAAACGGCTCACTCAAGGCAGTGGGCGAGAGTGTAACCCCTCCCCTTTGCAGCGAGAGCGTGCCCGCCTGGCTTTTTCTAAAGGTGGTTTGTATGCCGCTGCGTCCCCCCTGGCCAGGCCAGAAGCGGTCCAGTTTGCGATGTCTGGCGCGTTGGAGGTCCTGGGGCCCGAGGTTTCTGGGGCTGTGCCCGCGTCTAGCTCTGGTGTGCCTGGGTCTGGATCGGTCTCGGAGCCCAGGCCTGGGGGGGGGGGATGGGGAGTGTGAGTTTCAGGTTTTCACTTCTCTGGGGCACGTGATGGAGCGTGCAAGCCCATATATCTTCTGCACGGCGTGTGGGTCGTATTGTGCTCAGAGGATGGGGCCCAGGCTGCGTTCGGTGTGCAAGCCCCCGAGCTCGGGGGTGCTGCCTGATCGGGTGAGGAAGCATCTTGCGAACATCCGTGATGGCCTGCACCCGAAGTCTGGTTTAAAGCTCTCAGGGGCCGCCCCCCAGGAGTGATTTTGTTGGCCCCGTCCCCCCCGTCGTCGTCGTGTCGCCTCCCCCCCGCCGCGTGCGCCTTCTATTTCGGCACGTTCACGGCGCTGGAGGTCCAGGCACCGACGCGCGGTCGGGTAAGTGGGCGGGGCTCTCTCTCTCTCTCTCTCTCTCTCTCTCTTATCATCAGGGCGCCTGCGGGTAACTTGCTGGCGTCTCTTGGTCTTGTATCTCTTGTATCCCTCGTCCTCCTCCTCCTCCTCCTCCTCCCCCTACCTCCCCCTCCTCCCCTCCTCCCCCTCCTCCCTCCTCCTCCTCCCCCCCTCCCCCTCCCCCTCCCCCTCCCCCTCCCCCATCCCCCTCCCCCTCCCCCTCCTCCCCCTCCTCCTCCTCCCTCCTCCTCCTCCCTCCTCCTCCCTCCTCCCACTCCTCCTCCTCCTCCTCCCTCCTCCTCCTCCTCCTCCTCATCCCACCTCCTCCCCCTCCTCCCCCCTCCTCCACCCTCCTCCCCTCCTCCCCCGCCTCCCCTCCTCCCTTCCTCCCCCTCCTCCCCCTCCTCCCCCTCCTCCCCCTCCTCCCCCCTCCCCTCCTCCCCCTCCTCCACCCGCCTCCCCCTCCTCCCCCGTCCTCCCCCTCCTCCCCCTCCTCCTCCTCCTCCTCCTCCCCTCCTCCCCTCCTCCCCCTCCTCCCCCTCCTCCCCTCCTCCCCCTCCTCCCCCTCCTCCACCCCTCCTCCCCCTCCTCCCCCTCCTCCCCCTCCTCCCCCTCCTCCCCCCCCTCCCCCTCCCCTCCCCCTCCCCCTTCCCCCTCCCCCTACCCCCTGCCTCCCCCTCCTACCTCCCCCTCCTCCCCCTCCTCCCCCTCCTCCCCCCCTCCTCCCCCTCCTCCCCCTTCCTCCCCTCTCCCCCTCCCCCCCCCCCCCTCCTCCTCCTCCTCCTCCTCCTCCTCCTCCTCCTCCTCTCCTCCTCCTCCTCCCTCCTCCTCCTCCACCTCCTCCTCCTCCTCCATCCTCCTCCTGCTCCTGCTCCGCCTCCTCCTCCTCCTCACTGGTCCCCCTCCTCTCCTACCTCCTTACCCCTCCGCCTCCTCCTCCTCCTGCTCCAACCGCCTCATCCTCCTTCTCCCTCCCCCTCCTCCTTCTCTCTCCACCCCCTCCTCCTGCTCCTCCTGCTCCCCCTCCTCCTCCTTCCCCTGCTGCTGCTGCTGCTGCTGCTGCTGCTGCTTCTGCTGCTGCTCCTCCTCCTCCTCCTCCTCCTCCTCCTCCTCATCCTCCTCCTCCTTCTCGGCTCTTGCCTTTGCGCCGCGCGCATTCGTCTTCAAAGTTTGCAGCTGTTTCAAGGATGGAGGACGGTTCCTTTGCAAAATGTGGTTATCGCCTTGGCGCCGCGCGCATTCGGCTAAACGTGTACAGCAGTTTCAAGGATCCGTATGGCTGAAGTCTCAGAAATGGTGTTCCAGCACGATGCAAGGTTCAGGGCGCAACAATCACGCTGATACGCGGTGTTTTAATTCCAGAAGATGTGTCCTGGCATGATCTAGGATTGCCTGGGCGCAGCAAGCACCTGGATTCGCGGCGTTGATGGGCCAGTGATGGTGTTTCGGAGCGACTGGGAAATCTCAGACGGCGAGCACTTCGGGTTTGATGCACATGCGAACGCGACTTGACATGCACGTTCCAACACATCAGACGGACATTGTGCAAGACCTCCTCAAGGG